GATCAAATGGTTCCTACTGTTGACAACGTCCTGAAATTATCAGCAATTTGGAAAAAGTACAAAATGGTCTGAAACATCCCAATAAATGTTCATAGGTATCCTAAATAATGACTTGCGAATGTATAATAATTTGATAGTTTTTTTGAGACGATTCAAAATTTTGAACGCATTTGGAATAATCTACGTTGTCCGAATTCAAAGGGAAAAGGCCACATTTCCTAAATCCATCAACAATGCTTTTTTCCATTTCATAATTGTCCAAAGTTGTTTGAAACACTTTACAAAAATTAAATTTGTTAACGGTGGCATTGATATTTTCTGGAAGTTGTTGCCATTTTCTTACTGTTTTCTTCCATTCCGCTTTTAGTGGCCTAAAAACGCTGACGTCGGCAGGTTGTAATACATGGGGACAGCGCGTAAAGTCATGTGTGACCTATGCCCATCCAAGAATAGAATAATTGGCTTTGGAATTTGATTTTCTTCTAGCCACTTGTTAAAATCATTCGCGATATACTCAAAAAATACGTCACCTTTCATCCAACCACTATCCGACCTTCCCAGAATCCACTGATCAGACATATTTTCTACTAGGGCTCTGGGTGGTCTAACATAAGGAAATACAACTGATGGAGGTGCTATTTTCCCATCTGCAGAAAATGTTATAAGAACGGTTATATTATCTTTTTCTTGGCAGAATTTTATATTGTACATATTTTTGTAGCCCCTGGGAGACAATACCTTCCCCTTTTTTGGACAAACTGAAAAACCAGACTCATCAGTGTTGAAAATTCTTCTTGGCTGCTGCATAATTTCATTTAAATCTCGAAACCATGCTCCTACATATTGTTCAGTAATAATTGCGCGTGCTTTATTTACACTTACAGCTTCTCTCAAGCTGAGTTCTGGGTGACATTTCAAAAAATTGAGATACCACTTTTGTCCTGGTATTCCGTACTTCAACAATTTGTCTTTCCCTAAATCCTTTGCCACATTCTCAACGGTGTCTAAAAGGTCTGTCTTTTTTAGAGGAAATCCACATTTGGCAATGTTTATCACCCATTCTTTTAGCGTATCTTCAACATTATAGCCAAGAAGAGGCTCAGGACCAGTTTTTTGTTTATTCCCGGTTGATCTCCCCTTCATTCGATCTATGATTGTAGTTTTAGGAACATTGAATTGTTGACTAGCTTTATCAATGCTTAAATTTCCTGCCTGAATTTCAGTCAGTGCTTTTTGAAGAACATTTTCTGTATATTTAAAAAAATGTATTTTTTCTCTACGTTTTATTATTTTTAATTTCTTCAATGTCTCTTCCTTCCTAGATGGCATTTCTGTGAATAAATGTTTGTTTTAGAACCGAATACAGGGTAATAAGCACGTGGTCGGAAGCAGGTTTAATCTCGACCACGTCCTTAAAATAAAACGAAGGGACGTCATATTCATGGTCGACAACTGGAGCAAACATTCAGTATATGTATATAGACAGTTAATATATACCAGAGTGAAACAGCATCTTTAAAGCCCATAAAATCGAAAAAGATACAAAAAACATATTCTCAATTATGATGTTTTCGACGAGCCAGTCGAGAAAAGGGAGTGCAATGATTTTCAGTTCCTATTATCCGACCACCCTATTTTACATTAAAAATCGGTTTGACAATGAGTTTATGCCATATTTTTTTAAAATATATAATTGGTAGTATCGTTGAATTACAAAAGGAATGCGGAACAAATATTTAAATTCTTACCGCTTATTTCCGATAGCACATTGCACTAACGGTTTTCTATCAAAAGTACCACGTGTTGCAGGTCAGCTAGCTCCTTACTGTTCTATGCTCGTAGGGAAAGGTTACTTTGATTACTACGCTGCTGAAAATATTTGACTAGGTGGGGGAACCATGGTCGAAAACAGGGTTAATCTTAGAGAAACAATTATATGCGTGTCTTTCTTGTTTTAGACCAAATTTACTGAAAATGGTCGAAAACTGGGAATGGTCGGGTAACCGGCGCAGTGACCCTACCTGAAAATGTTTTCGTGTAGTGATTTATGAATGAATTAGAACAAAATTTGACGCATTACATCCACCACATTCGTATGCGTCTATATTCAAATTTGCGATACGTAACTGAAAATCCTAAAGCCACTTGTACCATATAAGATGCTCAAAGATTGCCAAATTTCAGTTTCACGCAATAGAAAAGAAAATATTTTGAAAATTTTCGAAGTCTCTAAATTTTTAAAAATTTCGACTCACAAAAAAAAATAATTTGAGTTAAGCTCAGAAGCTTTCAAAAAGTTTTAACACATAAATAGTTCAGAGTGATCTGAAACTTTTTTGTCTTTTGCTCCTAACTCCACCGCCATTTTATGAAGTTTAGCATAATCTATTGTGATATCACAACATAGTATGCTTCAAATTCCATCAAAATTCAAGCAACCGTTTGTGAGATTACGCTGTTGGAAGAACACACATAGGCAGACACAGATTGACAGAAAGCAGTGGTATTAATTTTCGAGGTGTTAATGTTATAAGACATAGAAAAAACTGACATTCTAAAATTTGTGTAATCAATAATTCCTCGATTATAGATATGAAGTGAAATAAAATGAAAAAGATGATATGGATTTGCAAAACCTGCAAAAAATCGGCAGGTAACAGCACTTCCTAGGCGACGCTGACATGAGTCATGAAAGAATATGTTCGGTATAAGTTGGTTCCCTTATAAAAGTCAACTACCGGTAGTTATAATTACCGGGGTTAGAAGCCTATAAATATACTCTCGCCAAAAAATGAGATATACCTATTCTCCCCTACCTTCTACAATCCCCCACCCCCAATTTATTACCCCTCAAAGGAATTCCTATGCCATACCTCGGAATGTCGAAAAACAGATTCAGCATTTTTTAAAATTTTTTTCTTTCGTTTTTCGCACGTTGCTTCGCCGCCCCTGGATCAATTTAAAAACCGGCAAAGCCGTCTAACTCGTGGTATAACTACCTAATAGCCTTGTGTTATCAATCTTATCAAAACCGAGCGGTACTTCTCAAGTTATAGAGGAGATAAGGATTAGTGAACAGACAGGCAGATCGACGGAAATTAGCGAGATGGTTTTTCGTGACGTTCATGCCATGGAACGTCCAAAAAATACCTTTCGCGATTACAATACTTCCTGGGAAATTGGCATGGGCAGTAAGAGCACGCATTTACCAATAACCTTGTGTGTCTTCAAGAACATTGAACCATTCAGCCCGCATTTTTTTCTTCTAAGCCCGGCCTAACATTGCTCATTCCCGTTGACCTTGAGACACCACTTCATACGTAATGCCAAAGTGCATGCGCCTAACAACTTTTCAAAGTGCATTTCAATGAGTGCTGACCATGTGGCATACAAAGAATTGCCAAGGTATGGTGGTTTTCCCTTTATGATTTTGATAAAGTGGTTCTTTTCAAATATTTTCAGTAACCCTGAAGCCGTTTTGCTGTTGTGGTCGAACGCTTACAAAGTTTGTCAGTACAGAAGCTTCGAATGCATTTATTTTCTAATTACAGGCGGCAAAACTTTTGCACTCCTTGTTTACACCGCGTTGTCTGTCGCAGCTAAAGCGGCTTACGGTGTTGCCAAGTGTCGTATATAAGGGGTTTCACAATTTCAGTCAAATTCCAAGATTTCCATTTGTATATTCTCTGAATTGAGGAAAACGTAATGCTTCAGTTGTATCGATTGTTTCAAATATGCGCTCACAGAATTTTGGTTTTAAAAATTGCAATTTTGAAGTAGGTATCATTCCTATATTTTTACTTGGAGGCATAATTGAACATACGACCCATCGTTGATCCGATCCAGCTGTAGCCGAATTATCTTTGGTTCGTAAGATGTTCATCGTAATTGAAGATGATTCTCATCTTCATTCCCCATTGCCAACGCAGGTGTTCTCCAGGTACACATTGCAGCTCTGACGCTGTTTCTGTTTCTTGATGGGAAATATTCGATCCAGAGTTTTATAAATGAATGAGTCTTTGCCTTCAGTTATTGATTGTACAGGGCCGATTTCTACGCTCGAGCTGAAGAAAGGTAGACTAGTGGCGTAAAGTGCAATAATTTGGTGTAGTTTTATGTTTCTATACTCGTGAATCGAAAAAGAGAGCAAGTAAAACACATCGCACACCTCTGCTAACACGGCATCTTTTTTTTGAATATGGCGCGACCATATTTGATTTTGTTCAGACGAAGGTTGCTTGACTGTATGATGAGACCTATCAGACGGTTTCAAGCCTCTCTCATGTGTAGGGATGGTTGATTATCTGGCTTTCTTCCTCACATATATCAACCAACTTTAAGCCACCGCTGTCTTTGCTTACGACAGGAAACTGCTAGACATATCGTTTTCATTTTCTGTAGATCGATACAAAGCTGCTTTGTTCCTTGGGTATCGATCTGCCCAGTTCTACTAAACTGATGTAAGTCAAAAATCTGTTCAAATAAAAGATGTATTTAATCCCATTGTAACAGTTCGTGGTAAATGGGTAGTTAAGCTCTGCCTTGACGTATGTGTCACTATAAAACAGATACGCCTTCAGTCCACCATAACTGCTTAGACCTATAGTCTGGTACCGAAACGGAAGAGCGTAGCAAAGCCGATTCAATGCCTAGCTAGCAATATCTTACTCTCGTGCTTCAAAGAATGATTCTCTCACGTGTTCTTTCTATAGCTGGGCAAACTTTGACAAAAGCCGGATGACAAGTGAAATGGTCAGTAATGTGCGTTTTCAATTTTCATTTATCCAGACGAAAAAAACTAGGATAAAACAGCATCACGTGTCAATAATTCTTTTTCCTTTAATTATTGGCAAATCGCAATCCAGACCGGCCCTCAGACCGGTCTCCACATGAGAGACATTCCATCACAAGAAAAAATGCAAGCCAATTGAGAAACAACGGACGTGGCAACGTCGTTGTCGGGACCGCCAGACTGGCAAGACCTTATCTGCGCATGTGCAGCCATCGACCGGCGGCCGAATGCAAGCCCGAGGCCGGAGCCAGACTGGTTGCAAAACAACGGAATCTGCAGGGTGCACGTTGCCATTGCATTGCAAGCCGCGGGAGTCGGTACTACACCAAACCGTACAAAAAGCAACCCTATATTCGGAATTCGTTCTCGTTTTTCGGCACACGCACCAATCACACTCGATTATATGGACTAAATTAAGTTTTTCGCACCCTTTTTAATGTTAATCATAGCTTAACCTCAGTTTGTTAAAAGTTTTTGAGTGTTATTTTTACCCGTACCCATAAATGATGTTTGTGCTTGTTCAAGTGTAATACTACCATCCAGGATATTTTACTCGACAATCAATTGGTAAGTTTTTTGTTTTTGTGTTGTTTTTATCAGCCGGTTTCGCAAGAATCCGCACCGCTCGTCAACTGGCTCTTTTAAATCACGCCCAGATACAAGATAAATTTATTTTGATACCGTTATCAAGTCGCCCGGCTTATTTTTGCCATTGCCAACTGGGGTCTAAATTGAAAAATTGCAATCGATTACTGCTGTTGCATCCCGCTCGGTTACCTTCGCAGCCGGTGCATTTTCACATTATGCGACGTTGCCGGTGTTTTGCCGTTTAGCTGGAAAAGGAGAAAAGTGTTTTTTTGACTTTTTGTGATGCGCTAGTGTGCGATTCTTTGTCGTCTCGATCGGCGAAGAACCGACGAGTTGGTTTAGTGCATTCGGCGTATGAAAAGTACTGTTTCGGACGATCTGTCGCGATGAAAATTTGTGTTTAGGAGATCAAAAAATGAAGCTGAGAAAAGGTACATATTTTGTATGCGAAATGAATCGTCTGACGTATTGCTTTATAATATTTGTAAATACTGCTATATTCTGAAACATCCTTTTTGTATCAGATATGTTAACGAGCAATACAAGTATGTAATATTAATTTTTTTGCTGAAATGTTGCCCCCATCATTGAAAAATGATTTCAGAGAAATTTACCTGCAAAATAGCGTAATACGGCCGTGCGTGTTCAAGGATAATTTTCTAAAGTCGCATCGATTTCAAAATAGATTCCTTAATTTCACGAAATAAGTGAACGCATAATATTTTGTATCGTCGCGTCAGTTTGCCAGTTTTGGTCATTTAAATTTGGTCCGTTCCGATAATTTTAACTCTTCAACTAATATTTGCTGTAGCTCATTAATTCTGAAACTGTTCCGTAAAAAATTGTTACGCGTTGCATGTGTCATTTTGGCTCATTTATGTTTTGGGATCTTTCCGATTAAGTCGAGCTTCATCCTTCATCTCTGACACCATCTGTAGAGTGTTATCCAATGATTTATTTTGCATTTGTTACAAGCTTTGTAAATACTGACGCAAGATATTAAGAGAAAAGCATAGTCATCATAAGAAAATATTTTGGACGTTGATACATAGAATTACATAAAAAGTGTAACAACTGATACTATATGAATACTCAAACCAAATTATGTGTCTTGTTTCTTGTTATCTATCACGTTTGGTTTTTTCTTGTTTTTTCTTTTACACTAGTAAGAGTGTTCACAAGCCTATAGGGACGAATAGAGGTACTTCCTATACAGAGCACTGTATGGAAGGATTATGAATTTACTGGTTTGCTAGATGCTAGTTGGTATAGAGTGGCAAATTTTCATTGTTTTCTCTCTCAATCTAATGGTGGTTTGCAGTTTGCATCAATGTAAAACTATCAAAATTATCTACAACTTGAAACCTAATATTAAGGACATGAACTTAACATCTACTTAGCCCTCATTTGTTATGAGTTAAATACAATCCCAAGTTTAAACTATTCTCATTTTACCCGACTGCCTGAGGAGGTTAAAGACTTGAACTTCTACCATTTTAAGCAAAAACTAAAAAGTTTGAAAGCAATTGTTTTTATAATATCCAAGAACGTTTAACTTCTGACATAATTCTGTGATGTCTTTTTAATACTTTATTACTATAACTTCATTTTACTATTTTTTTCAGTTACACTGCATTCACGTTGTTTGTATTTCTGAAATATTTACTTATCCATATCGCCAATCCAAATCGATGCAAACCAATTACAAATTGCAATTCAGTGTAATTCACAACTAAATATGAGTCAAAACATTGTGCATTTTAAAAACAATCCAAAATCTGATGATAATCCATCCAATCAAAAAAAATAATATTGAACCACTTTGATTAGAAAAAGTGTGCTAGAAAATAGATGGCGACGATATATGCTCGATATTTGACTCTAAAGGGGGAGAGATAACCCTCGACATCCCATTTACATACTTTGAAAATGGTTTATAAATTCGCTTTAGGTACTTTGTCATTTTTTGCGGTTTGAACTAGTATCAGTTCCTCCAACTTTACACTTTACTTTTAAACGTGGCAACGCAGCGTTCGCCACATGCGCATCGACTTATCGCGATGCCCTGCGCGTCGGTTAGTAGACCCCGGATCCGGCTCCGTCACGTTGACGTTGCTAGCGATCATAGTCGGCGGCCGCCATTTTATATTTTATAATTTTGTTATTCATCGATTTTAGGTGTCGTGTGTATATTACTTGTAAATAATTAGTTAATTTTTATCGGGTAAGGAACATGGATTTATATATACTAACCAGTTAACGTAGGAAATTACACACTAACCCAAGACCACCGTTGTCACAGAAGGCGGACTTTTATTATGTTATGGTATGCATATTTTCCATGCAATATGTAGTTTTGATGATTTTTATTAGTATTTTTGAGGTGGTATTTGTAGTAGGGGATTAGTAGTGTTATTAGTGGCATTTTATTGAATGTAGTTAGAAAAAAATTCAACATTTATAGCCTGAAATGCCGGCTATTAATTTGTTTTTCTTCTGCGCATGCGCAGAAAGGTACACAAAACGCGGGAAAAATAAACCCGACTGAACACGACCTCTTATTGGATATTAGTACGGTCAATGAGGTATTTTACAATACTTCTTATAACTTTAGCAAAAATGGGAACTGTTTTACGTTTTTCTGTGGATACATTTTCATCGATCCTTTGGACTTATCGTACCAGTCATAATTTTATTTCAACCTGGTGTAGTATCAATTTTTTTGATTAGCTTGCATTACATGATAAACATTTAAATCCATTGTTATGTCAGTTACTTCATGCTACTTTGTCGAATAAGGTCTATACTGATTTAGATAACTACTAATTGTTTCGCAGAACCGATATTTGAATTTTATCGCGTGTCAGTATGGCAATTAAGTATATGTGACTGAATGCAGAAGTGATAGGGTTTAAGGTCGCATGTTACTTTATTCACTTTTTTTTCAACTACCTGTTTCCAACAGTATTCTAAATCCTTTTCATCTGATTACAGTGGACAACAAATTTTAGTTTTTTAATTGTATCTTGTGGGAAAAGTGCACTTCTTTGTTAATTTTGGGGCGCTGAATACAAAAATGACAATAAAATATAAAAATTTGTTGCGGTTTAGAAAAAAAACTTTTTATTTTTAAGGATATATTAAAAAAGTAACAAGATTCATATACTTATAAGAATCACTATATGCGCTGTCTTATTGCTGTTCTTTTATGGATCGTTTCTGGAGCATCTCTACCAAGAGTCCAACAGTAGTCTGCAAGTATGGAAGGATTCCACTTTCCCTGGTACCTTTTTTTCCATTGTTGAAATATCCTGATGAAAACGTTCGCCGTGCTCATCACTTACGGCTCCGCAATTGTCAGGAAAAAAGTCCAGGTGTGAGTGTAGGAAATGTATCTTAAGAGACATATTACAGCCCATCTTTTGAGAATTTTTTTTTCGAATCTACTAATGGCATATGCTGTACATTTTTTTTACCTGGCTCTAGGAATTGACGAACAGGCCAGTTTTGTCTGGTGTAATGAAGTGCCTTTGCCCGACTGTCCCATTCACACAAAAAACAGCAAAACTTTGTGTAGCCTAGCTGCAGCCCAAGTAAAAGTGCAACAACTTTCAAATCGCCACAAATATGCCATTGGTGCTCATCGTATTTTATGCATGTCAATAGGTACTTCATATTGTCATATGATTCTTTCATGTGAACTGCATACCCTACAGGAAGAGATGGTAAAATATTTCCAATATGCAATAACACTGCCTTTAAACTCAATGTTGAACTGACTATAAACAATCTCCATTCTTCTGGGTTATAGTTTATATTTAAAGCCGCCAGTAAGCCGTTAATGTTACTGCAGAAAACAAAGTTATTCTCCATATTGAAAAATGGTTCTAAGTCTTTGTGGCGTTTACGAAAAACACATACCGAAACATCGTCTTCTAAGTTCCACTGCTGCAGTCTTGATCCAAGTAACTCTGCCTTACATTTTGGAAGTTCTAAATCTCTTACAAGATCATTTAATTCTGACTGTGTTATTTTGTGCGGTTGGTGGCATGACGTGCTCGGTATAAAATCAGGATCTCATGACGTTGATGGCATATCTTCTTCCTGACGAATCACTCGATCGCCATGATCTGATTCGTTTTCTGATTCGCAAGTGTAGGATTCTGGGGGTTTTGGAATAGGATTTTCGTCACTGTGAGGCACAGATCTCATCGCAGATGGCATGTTTGGGTAGTTAATAACCGATTTTTTTTTCTTGGACATACCTGTGGCTTGTCCAGCACAAGGTACCATGCAACAGTAACAATCATTAATATGATTTGTAGGCTCTCTCCAAACCATTGGGACAGCAAAGCGCATATACCGTTTTTTGCCATTTAACCAGCTCCTCAGACTTGAAGCACATGTATTACAGCAGATGTGGGGTGCCCACTGTTTGTCTTGATCACCTAGTTTACAACCGAAATAAAGCTGATATGCCTTTGTTATTATTGGAGTAATAGACCGTCTCTGAGACGCAAAAGTCACATCACCACACACGTAACAAAACTGATCTGGATTGTTTACACACTTTCGAGACATCTTGCATGAACGCTGTCAGCCAACTGAGGAAAAAATGGCTAATATAAAACAATATAATGTACACGTATGTATAACGTAACACAATCATGCCGATGACATCATCTTCCCTTGCCGAATATAAAAATGTAGCACGTGCATTCTTGTGAATTACAGTATATTAACACTGTCACAGCAGGAACACATATAATTACCGTATCTCTAAAACTTGAACTAATATTGAGAAAATAAGTTTCATTCCGGTTTTAGCACATTAAAAATAGTAATATTTTGTTGATTTTATTTAGGATATTTTTTGGCTGTTGATTAGTGTTATTTATTTATGGTATGAATAGATCATATGAAAAGGTATGTCCAAATCTCCTTATTCAACCTTTAAGAAATTTCTGGTTTCATTTTAA